GATGTGCACAGTCCCAGACGGTACTTGCTTGACTGGACCGGACTGGGCTACCTGGGACTGCTGACTGGGCTAGGTGGACTACCACCACTTGACCACTTGCCTCTGCTGAATACAGGCCAACTCCGAAAGGTCAGTTCTAGAAACCTCGACGTTGGCCCTTCGGTACTGTAGCAGCTACGACTTTGCCCTTTCAGGTAAGTAGCAGCTACGACCTTGACTCCTCAAGCAGCCTACAGCTACGACTTCGGAACTGTGTAGACTCCTAATCTATAGGTCTACAGTTCGATTCCGTTCTACCCTGTGACCTAGGACAAATTGCCTACTACTGGCGTTCCTACAGGTCGCAGGTTCAAGCCTACGGGTTGACACTGATACTGTACACAGGTAAGACGGGGATCCAGGGATCGAGCCCTGGGATCTGCATTTGCTACTGCGAACTGGTGAATACCGTTTCAACAGTCGTAAATAGAAGACCTTCCCCGTCGCCCCCAACTTGGAACAGTCCCATTCTCACACCCTATAACCCAGAGATATCCAGCTCCCAGCCAAAGTATGCCTCTGCCTGCCCCTTACCCTAATCTGCCTCCACTGAAGTAGAGTATCCCCCACAGTCTGCTGGCCGAGACCCATTGCACTGTTAAAACAAATGTACAATTTCTCGAGCAGACATGCATGAGGCATTTTTTAGGGTCGTGTCTCCAGTCTGAGTCGGAGTTCTAGATTCAAACGTTGCTGTCTTCGACCACAAGTTGTCTAAGACGTTGCTTCGGGTCTGGGTCACTGGAATGTAAAGACACCCCCGGGCCTGAGGAAAGTCAACAGCGGTGCCCTGCCCTGAGAAAGTAGACCACGAGCCAAGAATTTTCCTAGAAGTCAAACTCGGCCACAAATCACACAGTCCAAAGGCTCAGCTGCAGTTTTCGGAAGTTTCCAGATTTGCTGGGACCAGGCACACACTGGCTTCGATAGATTCGTGGCCACAGAGATCAAGCAATCTGAGTTGTCCAACAAGTCGACCTGGGACAATCACACTGCGTCTACACTAGAAAAGTTGGGCCTGCCGCACTTTGTGCATTCAGTCTGGCTGGTGAGCTGATGTCGATCCTCACATGGTAGAGGAGCTTCCATAGCGACAGGCAGAGGGTGGAGGAAGATGGGGAGAGAGAGAGAGAGAGAGAGGCTGCTTCCTCCATGGAGCCCATAGCGAGTGAGTGGAGAAGGCATTTGAGAGAGTGGGGGAGTGAAAGGACAAGAGGTAGGAGGTAAGATCAGGTGTGTGCAGACATTGTGTTTACTTGCTGGCTTCATGCTGGCGGTCTTCGATGTTGGAGTCCACGTCGACCCTCAGGATTGCTGCATTGTTGCTTCCAGGCCTGTTTGTATTGGCGCTTGCTGTTGGGAAGGAATGCTGGGAAGATTGTTTCATGAGAGTGCCAGTTGATAAGAATGATGCAACGGGATTAGTGTTGGGAGTTGGCTAGATGGTTGGGAGGAGGAGAGAAGAGAGGAGTTGTAGAGGGCGGAGAATCGACTTGTACTTTTTGATTATTAGCTTTCTTTTTCTTCCTGTTTCCCTCTCAACATCCTCTTGTCTGCTGAATATAATGTGTGGAGTTCACGTGTGCAATCTACTGAAGAGGCAAGGATGAGAGTTGGTTAATTTCACTGGTCATCGTGATCTAAAAATTGACTTGTGGTTCTGAGAGTTGGTTAATTTCACTGGTCATCGTGATCTAAAAATTGACTTGTGGTTCTTTTGTGGAGTTTTGGTCCCTTTGGCTTGAGGCTGTTCTTGATCTTCTGGCTTTTCCTCACTCTCTCTTCTCGCCTCCTCTCCTCATGCATAGGTTGCTGACGCGTGATTGTTAATGTGGTTGGTAATGTGTGATTGTGGGCTGACTGCATGGAAACTGGACAGCGATGTGAAAATGCTCCAGCAATTTGGAAACAAGTACACCCGGACATGGCTATCGGGTGACTGTCATGCGGACAATTTTGGCACGTTTGGGTCGGAGAAAGGTGGGCTGATGTTTGGGATGAATGACTTTGATGAGTCAGTGGTCGGCGACTATCAGCTTGATGTGTGGAGACTAGCTATCAGCTTGGTGCTTGTTGCGAAGGCCAATGGAGAGGAGGGCGAACTGGGAAAGCAGGACATGCAGAAGGGTGTGATCCTAGCCTTTGCCCGCAAATATCTGGAGACATTGCAGGATTTTTCTGTCATGACTCATCCGGAATGCAGCGTAGTACCACAACGTGTGTACAATGGACAACTCATTGAAGACAATGCAAGCACGAAGCTTTTGGAGTTCCTTGAGATTATCAAAAACACCTACACAAAGAAGAAGCTGCTCAAGAGATGGTAAGTTTGCCTCAACAATTTCTGTCTATAGCTTTTCTTCCCCTGAGCCACAAACTGCCATGAAATTGTGCATGATGAACTGTTACCTTGTTTTTCATGCGTGAGCACGTTGTTGGTTCAATGTCCAATGCAGGTTCTCAAAATCCGGATGCCTTGTTGACGTTATAAACCGCAGATGTTTGGTCCCTTTTGCCTTGTATATTCTGTTAGTTCTCTTCGCCTTCTCTTGATGTACCCGCCGTACTCCTTTCCTTGTCGTAAGTATAAGGTGTGAATCCTCTGTTGTTTGTTGCTTCCCATGCTTTTTTTCGCTTGCCACGTCCGGATTGTGAATGATTAGAAGTGGGGGGGTCTTGCAGATCGGGAAAGTCTTGGGCACTGGTACTACTGGCACTGTAGTTGCTAAAGGTCCTGTTTGTTGGTGCTTTTCATTTCCAGGGCTCTTGGCTAGTGGCACTTCCGACTTTTGTGTATGCCATGAAAGGATCGGAAAAGTACGAGTGTTGGGACACACCCTCATACCTTTTTTTGACTTGATTAATTATAGTCAGGGATAATGAGGATTGGTTAGGCATTGCGGCTAAAATTGAATACATCAGCCAAAGTCCAGCCAAAGTTGTAGTGTGAGTTTGCCCTGAACGTGCTCCTTGTGTGTCATGTGGCGCACAAGTGTAACGATGGTTGTCTATGGGTGGCTGCAGCTTTTGTTGCGCAATTCACTGCAGCTGCCCATGTGGCTGAGAGTACTGCCAGAAGGGTGCGGCAGCCTGTTGAGGAAAGCAAAATGGTGGTTCCTGAGAAACAAACGTCACACCGACATGAACGAAGTATGGTGCTGGAGGTGTGGTACAGGAGGCTGAAGAAGAGGACAACGAAAAACTGAACAGCCATGTGTAATACAGATGCGTGCTGACGCACATGTGTTCATGCATATATAGAGGGAGGAAGCACATCTATCCACAAACACAGCAACACAGGAGAAAGGAGAGGAAAACCAGGAAGACAGGCAACGGTGAGCCCCCTGTTAAAATTGGAAAGATGAAGAAAAATCGATCTCTCGGCCGTCGCTTGATCGTCTTATTTGAGCGAAGGGAAAAAAGTTGAAGAACTTGTTGTGTGTTTGTTTTTGTGTCTACAGCGCCATATTGCTTCTTCGGACTTTTTCCTTATCCTGTATGGTTGCTGTGCAAATAGCCTCTGAGGATCCTACACATTGCCTTCAGGGATTTCGAACCAAATCTTTTGTTGACAGCATCACAATTTAGTATTTGTGCCGTTTCCATTTTGAAATTTGCAAGTCAAGGACCGCTCAAGGATTCCGACCACGGGCAGCACCGGTCCTTCCCATACAAGAACCACGCAGCCCCTTAAAATTGTCTGCCCAGCAATTTATTCCAACGACCATTCACTATTTGATGTTCAATTTCAATAATTGTTGAGACCAGTGAATAGGAAGGAGAAAAAAAAAGAAAAAAAGAATTCAAGCGCCATGACGAGAGGAGGTAAACATTGCTAAACACCTAAAGAGAATCATGACGGACGAAATTGTACTGAGCGCAGTGTGTGTCATGCAATGTGTGGACATTAGAGAACTCAACAGTATTGCGCAAAGTGGCCCTTTATTTGGAGTAGACACGAACCTGATTTCTGGCAAGCTAAAGTTCACTACCCAGGCCGTGCACAACGCAATCTATCGGTTCCTGCACAATCCTAATTACAGTGCGCACCTCGAGAACCCCCAGGCATTTAAAAATTGCTGGGAGACTGCTTGGTAGCTGGTCATGAAGGTTTACCAGGCCATCACATGTGGAGGCTGTCTACCGTTTGACTCTGGCCTTGTATCTTGGCTGTCTATGTGGGTGTCTTCGTCTATTGCGGGCCATGTTTCAAGGTGTGAGAAGGTTGATAAGCAATGGTTGTTCCGGAGTGACAAGAGGAAAAAGCTCGTGCCGTGTGGGACTGAAGAGAAAGCGGCTGTAATAAAGGCATTGAAGACGTTTCATCCCGCGATCAGGGGGATTGGCATGAAGGATAAGTTGCACACATGGGTGAAGGATGTTGCATTTCGCATTAATGTGGGACTTGGCGCATGTGGTCTCCTGCGATATTACTTGCTGGTGAGTTGTTTTGTCGACTTCCAAGTTAAGTTGCCGTGTGACCACCTCATCTCATCCTTTTGCTGAGGGTTAAGAAGAGGAGAATCAGTTGTCGCATGTTTTTGTTCTTTCTTCCATTCAAGTTTGTGTTTTGAAGTGTGCCTTTTGCTGAGGGTTAAGAAGAGGAGAATCAGTTGTCGCATGTTTTTGTTCTTTCTTCCATTCAAGTTTGTGTTTTGAAGTGTGCAGTGTGAAACAATTTGAAACAATTTGAAACACATGGAAGCAGCTACTCTGACTGAACTCCATGGGTGCATCACTTTCAGGTCGATGTTATGCACAGTGAGGTGAGTGGGAGCTGGAACTAATTCACTCTGAAAACGTTTTCCACATTCCGATGGCGCACTTAGCATGTGGCAAAGCTGTTGAACCAGACTTTTTGGAACCTGATCGAGGACACTCAAGACTAATGGCCAGGCCGCACCGGTGCTATATTTATGCTAACAAAGCACGAAAATTACCATGATTACAATCGATTTGTGCTTTCCAAGCACGGACGTAGGACCAGCGTGGCGTGACCTTAAGAACGCAACCTGGGAGTTGGAGCTAGACTCGAGCGTTAGCAGGTTTTTTGAACTCCGAACCTGCATGGAGTCGAGGATTGTTTCAATACGGGGTTGGATGGGTTCAGATGTTGTACATTAGGCTGGCTGGTGTTGTCCAGGTTTGGTGCATCGAAGCTGGTGTCATCGGACTGCCCTCATCTGTTGCCATTTGCATTGGTTTTGACTGCTGTTGGGTCGGTTAAGCTGGGCTGGTGTCGATTGGGTTTCGTTTGGCTGGTGTGCATCAGTTCAGGATTGGCTGGTTGAGTTGGGCTTGTGTTGGCCGGGCTTGGTTTGACTGCTGTAGATTGGCTTTTCGGATTGGATGGTGTTGGTTGGGCTCGATTGGGCTGGTGAATTGGGCAATTATTGAACCCTCCAAGCCTCTTTTCCCGACCCGAATTTCTGCTGCGTGCCAGAGAAAAACCAGACTGGCGTGGGTGCGAAATATTGCTTTTTGCCTGTCGCTGCCAGCTTTGGCTTCCTGATAGGCCAATTTCTGGAATCCTACCGTCTTCACCGGAATACAATGTACGGTCATTATTGCTGGAATCCTACTGTCCCAAATACAGCTATAATGACCGTACGTCATATTTGCGTGAAGATGGTGGCAAGCTCGAAAGTTAGTGAGAGTCGTAAGCTCTCAGCAGCGAGCTGCTACTGTCTTCACCCGAATAGAACGCCTGGTCATTATTGCTGCATCCGGACCGAAAGTTGTGCCAAATACAGCTATAATGACCGGGCGTTCTATTCGGGTGAAGACGGTAGTTCGTTTAAATTTCCAGGTTTAAATTTAGGTTACGAGTTTGAACTATGCTTAAGACAGATGAGAATGGCTGATTGCTCACGACTTGACATGCGCAGCATTGTCTAGATTCGCATGTGTTCAGGATGCTCCCTTTTCATACATCAAAATTTAGAGGCGACAATGGTTTCTAATGATGACTAAAGAAATGTGATGAGATTATGGGAAGGGGAAATAGTCATAAAATAACATATTTCTTCTTTCTTGACATAGTAAGTGTAGCGTTTGTCATTTCTTAGAATGGTGAAAAGATTGTAGTTAGAACTGTACAAATGCGGTTTCTTTGAGTATGCTCCCACCAGGCCCTCGAAAGTACAGAGTAGCAAAATTAGCGGCTGGATAGAGTCCTCTAACGAGGACTCCACCATCTGCTCGCAGATTTTGTTATTTTTATTTTTATTTTGAGGGTGTAGTGTGAGTATGCCCTTACAATGATGTACAAATTGTAGTTGGTATCTAGGGAGAAATCCCGGGTACCCAAGTCCCGGCCGGTCAAGACCACTGGTGGACATATGCACAAAAAAAGAAAACCGAATCATCATTTTTTTCAGGCCTGGGTGCTTCTTGAGGCCCGTGCGGACACCCCAGGCCGTGGAAAAAAAATCGACGGTAGCTCTACCGGCCCTGCTAACGAGCAATAAGCTGTGCGATATCTGGCCATAGATCTCGAAGATCGATGGCCAGACCATCAACCTTGAAGATCGGCGGCCAGAGATCGCACTCTGTAGCACACTGTGCCCGTGCGATTTCGTATGGCAGGCAATCGATTTCGAACACCCACACGAAATCGTGCAAGCATAGTGTCTTCATTTGGTCTCACTGCGCCCACCCTCTGCCCGACGACTGCTGCCATGGACGAGGTAAGAGTGCCTTCTTCTTCTTCTTCTTCTTCTCTTCTTCTTCTTGTGTGTGTGTGTGTGTGTGTGTGTGTGTGTGTGTGTGTGTGTGAGAGAGAGAGAGAGAGAGAGAGAGAGGCTGCCGTGCAACCTCGCTGCCTGTTCGGGCGACCCTTGCGCGGCCCCCGGTACCGTCTCTCCCTCCATATCTGCTTCTTCTTCTTCTTCTTCTTCTACTTCTTTGTCTGTCTGCCTTTTCTTTTTTCCTTTTTCTTGTTCTTCTTTATATCTTTTTGTGCTATCTGTGTGCTATGTGTGTGTGCTATATGTGTGTCCTCTGTGTGTGTGCTATGTGCGTGTGCTATGTGTGTGTGCTACGTGTGTGCTATGTGTGTGTGCAGCATGCTATGTGTGTGCTATGTGCGTGGTTTGTGTGTGTGCTGTGTTTGTGGTGTGTGTGTGCTATGTGTGTGTGCTGTGTTTGTGCTGTGTGTGTGCTATGTGTTTGCTATGTGTGTGCTGTGTGTGTGCTATGTGTGTGCTATATGTGTAAACGAGAACGTAGATAAAACTCGTCTCCTGGGAAAGCTTCTCGACCTGGTGGTTGACAAAACAATAATGACATTTGTCGATATGCCCACCTCGTGGTCGACATAACAATAATGACATTTGTTGATATGCCACTGATTGTTTACTTAGATCATCATAGATAATTAGAGAGTGCATTCCATTGTCTCGGAAAATTTCTCTTCAGGACGTAGTTGTCAAGCTGCCATGGAAACTCATGTGCTATGTGCGTGCTATGTGTGTGTTATGTGTATGCTTGCTGTATGTGTGCTATGTGTGCATAATATGTGTGCTATGTGCTATGTGTGTGCTGTGTGTGCTATGGGCGCTGTGTGTGCTGTGTATGTGCTGCGTATGGGCTATGTGCTCTGTGTGTTATGTGTGTGCTTTGTGCGGTGCTATGTCTGCTATGCGTGTGCTTCGTGCATGTGGTGTGTGTGTGCTGTGTTTGTGCTGTGTTTGTGCTGTGTGTGTGCTATGTGGTGCTGTGTGTGTGCTGTGTTTGTGCTGTGTTTGTGCTGTGTGTGTGCTATGTGGTGCTGTGTGTGTGCTATGTGTGTAATATGTGCGTGTGCTATGTGTGTGCTGTGTATGCTTGCTGTGTGTGTGCTGTGTGTGTGCTGTGTGCCGCCGACTCCTGAACCCACCCACTCCCCCACCCTCCCCCACAGCCCCTGGATTCTGGCTCCTCTCCCCAAGCGCGGGGAGCCTGTGTTATGTGTGTGCTTTGTGCGGTGCTATGTCTGCTATGCGTGTGCTTCGTGCATGTGGTGTGTGTGTGCTGTGTTTGTGCTGTGTGTGTGCTATGTGGTGCTGTGTTTGTGCTGTGTTTGTGCTGTGTTTGTGCTGTGTGTGTGCTATGTGGTGCTGTGTGTGTGCTATGTGTGTAATATGTGCGTGTGCTATGTGTGTGCTGTGTATGCTTGCTGTGTGTGTGCTGTGTGCCGCCGACTCCTGAACCCACCCACTCCCCCACCCTCCCCCACAGCCCCTGGATTCTGGCTCCTCTCCCCAAGCGCGGGGAGCCCCTACCCAAAAGAAGAAAAAAAAAATCACTGTATTTTTTACATGACCGGGTGACCCGGGCATTATTCCTGCCCGGTCGTGGTTGTTCAAATCTTCCGAGGTTGGTATACTCGAATGATAAAAAAAAGATCGTAATCGGAATGAAAAAAAAAGAAGGAATCAAGTCACATATTGGAGGCTCTTTGCGAACAGCTAAGAATATGACAGCTGAACGCCCGTAGACGGTAGCTTCCTCAGGCAGAAGTGTTTTTTAGGGACAACGCTGCAGGGATTGGTTATTTAGTCTCTAGCTTTCTCTTTTTGTTTTGTCATTGTGCAGGTGGAGGATGATCAGGGTGACACACATATATTGGAAGCCAAGTGCCAGCCCCCAACTACACCGTATTTAATGACCAAGTGTTTGTCAACGCGTCTCGATTTGAAAAAGAGATTTCGCAATGAGGGTGAACGCTTCACAGAGGCCCTGAAGGCAATGTCACTCGTCGTAGAGCCCTTCGATGGATGGGTGCAGCTAACGGTGAGATGCTTTTTATTTGCAGAATTGGAATCTGGTGAATGCCAGCTGGTTTAGCTGAATCGAGGTGAAAGGAACTTCACTTTTATGCTTTTCTTCTCACGTCTCTTAATCTATTGGTTAATTGATAGGGCGTGTTGGTGGGAGGTGATGGGATTCATGGTGGAAGTTTGGTTTCTAAGTGTGTTTGCACAGAATGCGTTGCCCAATCCGCCTGTGCAATGATGTTTAATGTCATTGAGAGCTGTGCTGGGTCTGTGTGCAGCATAGTTGTTAAGCATGAGATTGAGTTTCAGCTTCTGCACAGTGGAACATGCAGAATAGAAGGTAGGGAATTCGCTCTTCTTCTTGATCGATATGCGACCATATATGGAATACATCGTATCAAATGTTCACAATGGTCTTCACTTTCATCCCAGATCATATCAATCTATTGTGTTGAAACACAACACAATTGTGTTATCCGCATGTGCGCTCTGTTCGGAAAAGCCGGTAGAGGCATGTCTGCTTCGTAAACTGCGTCTCTGTGTTTGTTTTGTACTTGCTACGGCTGGGCGTAACACTGTGTCCCTAGCACTTTACCTGTCTGTGCTGGCGGTGGATTCCCACCATCCAATAACGGCCAGGAATTCCACTTTTGAGCAAGAGCTTCAGGGTTTGGTACCAGGATTTCCGGATACGAAGGGTGGGGCTGCTCGGGTTTAAAAGGTGTGATTTTTTTAGTGGCGATCCACCCCTACCATATCCTGTTTGAACTGGCGGGTGGCGCTGGGTCTGGACGGATGGCTGGACTGTTTTCTCCTAGAAAATCTGCACGTCCCTTTTACTCTGGGCATGGTTAGCCAGCCTCTGCAGAAACTGTACACCCGTCAATGCGAGTGAGAAGTTTAAAAGCCTTCCCTCTCAGGAAATGCAGAACTCCCGGACATCAACTGTTCGGGTCAGTACACGTGCAAGTATGTGCTCATTTACTTGAAATTATTTCTCTTCTGTATTTGTAATACTGTATGTGTTATCTCTGTGTGGAGTTCGTACCAATCGTTAAAGATGCCCAACCAATAGTTGTTTACCCTTGTGATCTTGTCTTGGGGAAGTGGTCAACTAAAGTTCAGGCTCCTGAGCTTTAGTCGATAGCCTGAAGAGAAAAAGACACGTTCTTCACCGGTTATACTTCTTGCATGCAAGCTTTGACGCAGAGACTGGCAGAATGGCTATGTGATCTTGTCTTGGGGAAGGCGTCAGTGTTATGTTCAGTGAAGCGCGTGGACTTCAGTCAGCATGACCACAGTTGTGCCAATACAGGCTGCGCTCTGTGAATTCTGTCCTTGTTACAAAGACATGATTTGAAGGTGTTGTGCACTTTTGTATATATCGCGATATTCTGGTGACATTCATCTTGTTTTTACTTCTGCTGCTCCTATGAGCTTGTTCGCACATAGACTCCGACATCGAGCAACTCTTTTCTACAGAAGACCATTGGGTTATGAGAAACATGGGTGCTTCCACGTGCCTTGAAGTTTTGCTGTAATGCGCCCTGTTTTCTCACACACTCCCAGAAGAAAAAAGAAGCACAGAGGTTAACAACACTTATGTCATCACAAAGAAAAGTGTGTTCTACTACACACACACACACACACACACACACACACACACACACACAGGGATTTATGGTCCTGGGTCCATATCCATTCTGGGGAGCGTCAGTCCGGTTCCTTTTCCCCCGGTAAGTCGTGAAAATACAACAAGATCCCGCACATACGCCAAGTGTGTTATCTCTGATTAGGCACAAGAGCAAGGTTTTTGCAACGAGGTAAATCAACTTTTTTTTTTTTGGTCTGGAAGCAGGATTGCATCCCTGCCGACCGCTGACCCTGACCACCGACCGTATTGCAGCTGAGCAGTAGGGCCGACAGTCTGCTGACAAGTCAGAAAACATTCAAAACAACTATCCACTGATTTGTTTTTCAAATCTGAGTTGGGGCTGTACTATGCTTGCTGAGTACAGCCCAAATCCGCTGAGAGACTTTTGGGGATGGGGGGGGTATGGGGGGGTTGGGGTTGGAGTATAGGGGGGGTATAGGGGGGTATAGGGGTGATATAGAGGGTATTGGGGGGGGTAATGAGGGTGTTGGGGCAGGTTTGGGGGTGTATGGGGGTATTGGGGTCTGCTATGGGGGTGTTGGTGGTGTTATTAGGTGTTCTGGACCCCTTTTGTTTTCCTTTTTTCTTTCTTTTGCGGGGTGCCAATGACCCCCGACCAGAAGGTGCCGATCGGTCGGCGGGGGGGCAGCCGACCAGTCGAGGTTTTCTTTCTTTTGCGGGGTGCCAATGACCCCCGACCAGAAGGTGCCGATTGGTCGGCGGGGCGGCGGCCAACCAGTCAAGGGCCGCCGACTGTCAGGGGGTGCAACCTTGTCTGGAAGGCATTTGTAATGGAGGCATTACAGCCAACAACTGTAGAGGCATTAGAAACAGTGAAGTAGTAGATTTTCGGTCACATCCACTACGGGATCCAAGCACATATATTTGGAGAGGTCCTGGTGGATGTCATCATCAAATCATGGGTGTGTTTGTGCTTTGTTTGTGCTCTGAACACTCTCAGTGTACGAAGATTTGTTAATGTTCGATGTGTAGCTGTACAAATTTCGCTGACGTTGCATTTATGCTTCATCCCATGAATATAATTGAAACTATCATTGTGCAGGAGGCAGTTCACCCTGGGGCCGCCGGCTATTACTCGATCCGAAGAATTTCGGAGTACAAGGAGACGTATCCGCTTGTGAACAGTCCAAGTGCTTCTGGCAAGCTTTCGAAACTGCCGATCAGGAAGGGAGAACCCCTCAAGGAGATGGCAGAGACGTTCGCTTGGGTGCTGGCGACGCAGCATGTGTCAGTTGCAAGGAAAATGGAGATGGGTCGGCCCTCGGTGAAAGGCGGAAGGCGATTGGGCAGAGACGGTTTTCTTGCTGACCAATTAGGAAATGCAGTTTTAAAGGGAGAGGGTTTTGACGCGGCATCGGAGACGGACAATAGCGAGGATGGAGTACAGAGGTCAATATCCGAGCTGGCGCTGAAGTTGGAGAGGGTGTCGAGTCCCTCCCCATCGCTCTCAGGCGCTGACGACGACGGAGGGGCCACTGGAGCAAGCAAGGGCCCAAGGTTCCGTGATGAGATTTTGAAGCTCACGGGCAGTCAGCCCGGCAGTTTTGAAGAAGCGGTTTGGGAAATTTCAAGGAAATATGCTGCGCAAGTTGAGAAGGACTACAATGCTTTCAGGAAGTACCTCTGGACGAAAGACTAGTACGAGTGTTGTTTTCACTCCCCTCCCCCCCCCCGCCCGCTTCCTGCCTCTTCTGCACCACCCCCTCTCCCCTCTCACCCTCTCCCCCGGTTCCATTTTGGGTTTCTCTCTCCCTTGTTTTCCTTGGCAAGCAGTCTTTGAAGCCCCCATTTCTGTCTTCCCCTCTCTGCCTCTGGCTGTTTATTTCCTCAAAAGTTTGGATAACTTTTGTAGTTGTGGACTATGTGCAACCTTAGTTTGGCCTGTGTAAGTAACTCCTCTCTTGTCCCATGTCATGCCTCTGATCTCTCAAAATGGAAATCAATAGAAGCAATGGCAGGTGGGAGCTTTCTCTTGTTCCCCTGCCCTAGTCTAATGACAACCTCATTTGGCTTCTGTGTGCCATTTCTGTCAAATATTAATGCTGAACGCTAACTGTGTTCCTTCCATTCCGTCCCCTGTTCCCCGTCCATCCTCCCCCCTCCCCCTCCCTCCCTTCCTCGACGTATATACCTCATGGACGGTACATATGATTCTTGCGCTGTGTGCATGTGCCGCATGGCATATTGCGGACGACATGCATGCATGATATCTGAAATGCGTGAACGAGGGTGTTGATGAACTGGCTACGGACTATGTCAAAACATGTTATGACACCGTCACGTGTGGCCACTTCCCTTTTGTGGTTTTCGCCTTCTCCTTTGCGGCCATTGCCTTTGATCCCTCCCTCCTCCCCCTTCCCGCGTTTCTCCTCGTCATACCCACCCCACCACACCTGCTTCTCCTGAGATTTCTTGGTCTTGGCACTAACACAGTCTCCATCTTAGGAGGTATTAGCGATTTAGGTGGCCCTCTCTTTCTGCTATATCGTGTCGTTTCTTGCTGGCGACTTTCTCTTGAAGAGCGGTGTGTGTATGCCCTAGTGGCTTTCCCTTGACGATAGATGCAAGTTGCAAAAAATGTTTTTTATGTGCCATGAATGCATGTGCAAGTAGAGAATAGCATTGTAGGTGAGTTGGCGGCCTGTTCTTTATGGCCGCCATTCCTGTCCATAGGAGTCGGAGGGGTCTTGTTTTTTTTTTTCCTGTCCTTAGAAGAAGAGAATTCCAGGTGGTCTTCATGACAGACATGACCATCATAGCATTTAAGCAATCGCGATTATCCTTTCTGGAGGGGTGCAGAAAATTGTTGCACGAGAATATGCTGAGAGTTTCACCACCTTTGGTAGGCAGATAACGGTGTCGGCTCGCATGTGTACTCTAATAGACGAAAAATGGAGGATCTTAAGACCTAAAGAGACTTAGGAGAGAGTATTTCAGCTGTGTTGTATGCTGCTGCTACTCTGTGGCCGCTGTACTAGTAGAGTGAGGGAAGGCCGCTCATGTTATTCCTGTACGCAATCATAACTTTTCCTCACTATATGGATCGTCGTCTCCCGCTGAGGGCCTCTCTCCTTTCTCTGCTTTACTACAGAGCGAATGTGCACATGGTGGATTTCTACCAGGATCTCTCTCTCTCTCTCTCTCTCTCTCTCTCTCTCTCTCTCTCTCTCTCTCTGTGCCTTTTTTTAATGTGTGTGTGTGCATGTGTGTGTACGTACACCTTCCCTTTGTCCAAGGCAGTTCACATTCGATACCTGAACTGACCGTCTGAGTTCCGACCGGCGACCTTGACTGATCTCCTTAAATTGCCAGCCTGCACTGATCGACTGGCATTCCTCTTATCGATTTATCCAGGGAGAGAAAGAGGGTGTAATGTTTTGTGCAACAGAACAGGAAAGAAATGTGTCAATAGCAGCGAGGCTCCTCTTTCTGGTGTGCGGATAGAAAGGAAAGTGCTGCATGTAATTCTAGATTTGACATTATGGAAATGTGTTGATGAGGATGTTCATTTTAAGGTGTTGTTTTGAATTGTCGCTCATTCGCTGTCGAAGTATCGTTAGACCTCACCTGCTCTTGACACCTCAAATCATGATAAGGTGGAGATGTCTTCCGACAAGTAAAGTGGAAACGGTCGCTGTAACTCGTGTGCCAAATTTAGCCGCCGGGCTCCCCACTCGCCCACAGACAGGTACGAATGCGCAGGCCTTGAAAAGAGGGCTCACAGAGGCCTTGAACAGGGCCCAGGCCAACAGTTGACCAAAAGTCAACAGTCGACTTGTGGACCCATGCCCAGATCCGAGATGTCGAAGTCAACAAGTTGACTGTTGACTTTTTGGTCAACTGTCAACAAAGATTTCCTGGCCATTGATCTGGAATGATCTGACAGTTGTCTGCAGGTTCCGGAAGATTCGGGCCTAGAGGAGTCCAGACCGGAACTGGGACTCGTTGGATGATCCGGGCCTTCACATGGACCGATGCTGACACTGAGCAGCGCGAGTCGATGCTACAAAAGGTTGACCTCGCCACTGCTCGAGCATTCAGTCTTGCGAGTTGCTTGCGGCTACGACGCTGCACGTGAGAGTTGAGAGGAGGTGCTGGCGCCAGGCTGCTGGATGGGCGCCAGTCAGATATCATAGTAGTGAGATAGGGAGAGGGCGGCCAAGACCGCGACCATAGATGACAGCGAGGGAACGAGGAGAGGGGAGAGAGAGAGTGTGGGTGGTCGTGCGTACGTACCTGGTTTCTTCAGATGTGAAGCCGCTGCCGATTCTGCTCGCTGTTGGAGGATCGTTTACCTGCGAGAAGCTGCTTCCACACCTTCCACGTGTTTCACGGAGTGCTGACGTGGCAGACGTGGCACATACATTGAGTGCGTATTGCTGGAGTGGCACATTTAGTGCAAATTACTGACGTGGCACATTGAGTGCATACGGCTGGCGTGGCACATTGAGTGTATGTTGCTGACGTGGCAGAGGTGGGGAGCCTGAAGGAGAAGAGGGTCTTTTATTTGTCCTTCCAACCGTCTCTATTCTTCCCTCCTCTCTTTTCTGGGTACTGTGGACTTGAGACGTACCCGTGGTAATGAGGAAGCCTGCCTGTACTTCAGTGACTTGGAACTGATGGACTTGTTGGATTGATTAGCTCATGGCATTGCACGACTGTGTTCTGCGACATGATTGGATGACGAGACTGGGTTCATTCCACGGTGTTCTGTTGCACCTTTTGATTTCTTAAGTTTCTATCTTCCTATATCTGCGTTTCATCTTCTTTTTTTTTTTTTTTTTTTTTTTTAATCAGTAATCATTCCCCACATTTTTGCATTGGATATTTATCTTTTCTGTCCTCTTAAGCTCTCTTATCTTGCATTCAATAAGGGATATAACTTCGAGGCTCGATCTACAATGGTGATTGTTGCTGATCTGTTTGGCCGCCCGGTGTAGGCTTCAGTATTGAATCAAAGTCGGCCTCGTTTTATGTTGTCGGGGATGATTTTCTTCCTCTTGCACTACTAATATGTAATCAAAGGCAGCTGTGTTATGTCAACATACACGAGCCAGATTTGTGCAGCTCTTTTTTCTGTTATGCTCATCACAGGTGATTGCTTTGGCGCCCTTCCACCTTGCCTATGGAGTCGCACGTGCCAGTTTCTTGCGTCTATGGGAAGAAATGCTTTGCCAGGGAGCCTGCTGTGAGGTCTGTGAATTGACTGCAAGACTCCAATGGTACTGTTCCACAGTTTCTACACCCCACCCCCCCCCGCCCTTTTTTTTTTTTTTTTTTTTTTTTTTTTGCCTGTGCGGGAGCTAGGGGCGCCGGTATAAGCACTATTAAGCAGACACCTCTATCTCCCGTGTGGAGGCTCCATCTATTGGTGGGGAGCAACGCCTGCTGGAAAACGGGCCCAGAGTCCCTTAAACGACTGCCATTCCGGTCCGTTTCAAGTTTTCCTGACTGACTGCCAGCATTGATTGCCCTGAACACAGGGAATTGACTGCGCAGGTAGAAGAGTACCCAAAAAAGGGAGGAAAGAGAGGCCTCTTCAGCCCTGCTGCTGGGCGCCTGCTCTACGTGACCATCTGCCCCCCGTCTTTCCTTTCGAATGCAGCCTTTGCACTCACTTAACCCCCTCTAACATTGAAAGACCGCGAGGTGGAAAGGGGTCCGGGAACTCCGAGGGGAGGTGTAATGGGACCGAAGATCTAACATTGAAAGACTGTGAGGTGGAAAGGGGTCCGGGAACTCCGAAGGGGGGGGGGGGCGTAATGGAATCGCTGCGCCCACCTTGGTCCAGTGCCTAAAGCAGATGGTATAGTCGGGTCTCAGGTTCTCCTTTCCCCATTCCGGGTGGTTGCCTCCTTCCTTTCCAAGTAAGCTGTCCACCCCCCCTGCTCATTCCCCAACCAATCCTTAGAGAATTGCTCGATGGCCAGTGTTTTATCCTTTTGAGTGTGGATTAAGTCCAATCTAGATCTCATTCTCTGCCATTGTATGGTGAATTCTTCCTAGATGTAGTGTTTGATTAGATCAGACATTTCCTCACCCTCCGGTCTTACCGTTCGTTTGGATATATATACACCTCTTCTCCCAGAGGTCCCAGATGACAGCTCTTCTGCCTACCTTAAACGTGTCCTCTTCGAAAGTGCTCTTCGTGGGGGAGAGCCACTTTTCACACAGAAGCGCTCTCCAATCCCATGGCCATGCCGATTCTGTGCACAGCAACCCACAAATCCTATCCCACCAGCGCCAGGTAAGAATCGCCCCCGGGCATTGTAGAAAGATATGCTCTATAGTCTCGATGATCTTGCGGGAAGGAAAGGAAGTCAGACAGGCCGTGCACCATGGTGTTTCTCATCCCTTTTGTTCCAAATGTGTACGATCAATCAGCCAGTCGTTCGTAGGGAGGCAACGGTGCTCTATCTGCCATTGAAAGGAGGCCACCTTTGCAGGTCTGGCTCTTGTGGCGGTGAACCATCGGATGGGGTGAACGCGCTGTCCCTGCCTATATTCAGGTGGGACATCCATCTCTCCCATGGCCACACCGAGTCTGTGCTTACATGGGCACCTGGGCCGCGGGCCTGACACCTTGAGTTTTGGAAGCGTGAAACAAAAACGTGACCGCCGATCCTATTTATCAACGGTAGGCCCAGTGTTTGACGTTTCGGCCTCGTTTTCTTGTGGCGATAAGTCTCGGACTGCATGGCCGGGGCCGTGTACCGGTGGTTTAAGGTTAACCCAGGGCCTAAGAAGCCGATATGTAGCGTTCACAGACAGGGCAAATAATTTCTTGCATGTTCCCGGCCTCATCCTACCTGACGGGCGCCATTGCCACTCTGCCGGATCAATGGGGAGCTTAGAAAGCGGGGTTTCTTGCATGTTCCCATCCTCATCCTACCTGACGGGCGCCATTGCCACTCTGCCGGGTCAATGGGGAGCTTAGGAAGCGGGGTTCCGGGGAGGAATGCTACCCCCTTTCGTCTCGGTTCTCTGACCAACCTGATTCTGTACGAGTCCATCCTACCTGACGGGCGCCATTGCCACTCTGCCGGGCCATCTCTGATTCTGTGACCAACCTGTTTTGTGGGTATCTGGTAAGCTGATTATCAGTTTCCCGATGGAAGAGGGTCACCTGCACATCCACCTCACCTACTTCCTCCACCCTACCTACATTCTCTCTGTCCCCTACCATCGCTACCAATCCCGTTTCTGGAGTCGCGGCCCCCTGAGTAAGATATGCACCCAATGTAAGGGGATAGAGAAAATTAGTTGATCTAGGTTCCTTTCGAAGTGCTGACAGTTTTTCAATATGGGCCTCGATTGCTTTGTTGTTTTCCATTTCCTTTCTTGCCCATCCCGGGATATATCCATGAGAGCTGCAGTGTACCCTCCCAAGAGAGCTGCAGTTACACCTCTCTTACCCAACAATTCCATGGGGGGAGAGAGCTGCAGTATACCCTCCCACTGTGGGTGGTGGCACTTGTGTTGCCATAAAGTGTCTACCGTGCTACCTCCTCCTATCTGTCTGGCATCCCCTTATCTGGCAGCGGGAGTTGCCGCCATGCTCGAAGACCTTTTCCGGGTTTTCTCCCTAACATGCTATTGCAGATAAAACGCAGGAACTTGAGAAAGAAGAAACCAGATTTTTCTTACCCAAAGTTTCTTTGATGCCGATTGTCGACCTTTGGAGCATGAAATGGCACATATCAGATCAGTTCATTCGTGCCTTGTAACACCTGTGCGGCGCGCGACATGGAGTGCTGGACTGTGTACCTGCGCGTTCTGCATTCCGTGCGTTCAACGGAGACAGGTCAACGCGGTAAACGCGTTTTCGACTGGGCTGCAAATGCTGTGGGAAAA